TATTTATCAATTATTGTTTTTAATTTATTATATTACATTTTTCTACAATCTCTCAATTAACTAATAGTTATTATTATTTATTTTTTATTATTCTTTTTATTATTATTCCTCTTTAACCTTAATTGCTTTATCTGTTGCTAAGTTTTGCTAATTATTTCATGACGTCAACACACTATAAATTGTTTATTACAATTTGATAAATTACTTTCGCATTAATTTTATTGCTTCTATGAATGTTTCATTTTTTTCTATAAATTTTTCCTACACAATTTTTCTAGTTTCGGCAGATAAAAAGTTGCCGCCGCTTTGCTCGAGAAATTTATCTTATAATTTTTGTTTTGTTTACATTGATTTTGTATATGTAAATGTTTGTTATTTTTACACTTTAACGCTGTCTCGGCCGACGTCGACAGCGACGTCAACTGCGCAACATTTCTCACAGTTGTGGCAGGTGCGCCATAACGGCCGCCACTTGGCCCCAAGCAAACTAAACGATTTGGACCCAATCGCCATTATGATTCAATAATTTATAACAACAAATGCCATCAATTTTAATGTGCGAAAAATAAATACAAACAAAATATAAATATAGCTTCTTTAAATATATGAAAATATGAAGATAAGATAAAACTAATGAATTCCAAACGCTAATACCCTATCTGAAAACTAAAGAATATATGTTTTCTATATAAAAAGAATTTTAGATCTTTACTGAACGATAAAAATGATCTATGATGATATCAATATATCACTCAAAATTTACGTAAACAAGAGAACTAACTGGAATAATATGTCAGTTCCTTGGAAACAAAATCAGCGATTTACTTTGAAATTTGAGCCAATTGTTTAGGTTCAAAATTTTCTATAAACATATACGATCTTAATTAATATATATTTAAGCAAAAATCTAAACGCTTTATATACAAAACATTTGCTGTCCAGATAATTTACAGACAGATAAAGTCTACAACGAAAAACTGAGCAATTGCACACGTAAATTAAACAAAAAACTGACAACTTGTTCATGTCCATCACAAGCAGAGCAAACAATAGGCTCCATTTGATATTTGATTAGGGTATGCATAGTATATATATATATGTATACATAGATATATACTTATTATATATATAAGATTAATATATATATAGAAAAGGTAAAACGTTTCAATGTAGCGAATGCGTGAAAATTGGCATATGTTGGTGGAAATTTGTAGAGGCCATTTTGAAAATGTGAAAAATATAAGGGAAAGTAATCAAGGCGGCAGCGGGTGGGGTGGGCTGTGAAAATGGCCTGGCAAACAGCTGTACGCTAAGTGGCGGCGTCTTCTACATACACAGAGCTGATGAGTTTTTTATTTTAGCTCAATTTTTAGCCATAGGCATTAAAAACTTTGCTACTTTATGGCAGAAGGAAAGAGACAGAGAGAGAGAGAGAGAGAGAGAGAGAGAGAGACAACGGCATAAGGATCTCATATCTCCCTCTGTCTGTTGACATATCTTGTCGTGCTGCGGCTCAGCTGCCACGCCCACAGCAATGGGTACTGCTAATACCTTCATTACATTCAACTGCTCAAAGCCAAGTTAATTCAATTTGTGCAAATGAATGCGCACATCACAGCAGAGTGCGGCGGATCGGGGCTGCCCTGGCAAGGATGCGGGATTAAGTATTTCACAATGTCCACAAGCAAAAGTGAAAGTAGAAAATAAAATGAAAATAAAAATAAAATCGCTGGCGAACTAAAACCATTATAAACATTAAGTCCGTTTTTATGCTTCCCCTTTATTTTTAAAAGAGAAAAAACTTTTGCTCGCTGGATGAGAAAACTATTTTGATTACTTGCACTCAGATAAAACTAGATAATGGATTAAAACTTAGATTCAATTTACTGCAGAAACTGTTCTTAAGTGGAAAACAAAAGTTATGTTATATTAAAATAAATATTATCATGTTTTCTATTATTTTATTTTGTTCGTCTGCTTCTAGTTTATAAAAGTTCAGCTTTCATTTTAGTTAAAATACTAGATAGTTTGGATACTAGGAGAAGAATTAGCATAAAGTTTACTGTTTCGACATCAAGATTTGTTCACTTAAACTGAATCTCTAGAGCTTATAATTTATATAGGACTGACAGCTGTGTTTCTCTGAGTGTATCATTGCGTTTATATAGAAAATATCATAATATTTATATATGCAACATATTCCACTTTGCATTTAGGCGTTTGTTATTGATTCACTTCAATTACAAAATGCATGCCAATAAATATTCGAGTATATAGTATTTTCATGGTATTTAATTATATAGTATTTAGTTTATTCACTTTTCTATAGAATTTGACCAAACCCATTTCACAATTTGCAATGCAATCCAATGCAGCTAACAAGAATAATAATTATAATGACCAAAACATGTCGCGCCATGGCAACAACAACAACAACAACAACCACAACAAAAGTAAACACAATTCTAATGCGCCCGTATTTTAAAATGCAAAAAGCTAAGCGTGCACTTAATTGTATTGCAACAAAACAAACATAATTGCATTTTGTATATATAAATCGACTACAAGATACCCTGAATTATGGCTAACAACTGTCGCTAAGCGCTACTACAAATATAGTTGACTAGATTTTTGCTTTAGATATCAAATTTTCTGGCAAAAGCATCTTAAGGGAGAGGGAGAGAGAGCGTGAGAAATAGAGACAGAGATTGAACGAATGAAAGCGAAAACACGTACCGCCAAATACATATATATTAAAGAAGCAGAGAGCAGAAAAAAAACAGACAGCTACTCAAGTAGCCAAAGGCGTGAAAAAGGTCAAAGGCTGCGCTAATGGTGTATGGTATGGGGGGCGTGGCTAGCCCGCAAGGGCTTAAGCAGTAGACAAATATATACGTATAGTGGATTATATATGTATACAGATATGAATTTCTGCCATTACTTCTATATACTTATTAATATTTATGTATAATTTTTTAAGATTTATGATTTTTCTTCAAGTTTTAGTATCATTTATTTATTTTGTGTCTTTTATATAATTTATAATTTTAGTTTTCTGCAGCAGCAATTTCTTCTATATACCCAAATATACCTATATATACATCACATACACACATATTTATTTACATCGCAGACATGTTTTAAATGCCTTTTGATGACATTATGGCACATTTATTTATATTTATAACAATTCTTCTGCTTAAGGGTATTTCAATATGACTTTTGGCTTTGGCTTTGGGCTCTCGATTGGCATTTGATTTATATTTATATATATTATTTACTTATTACGTTTTATTTAATTTTGATAGACAGCTGTCGAGTTTTTGTTTAGTTTTATATAATTTTTTTTTATAGATACTCAACAAATGTTTATCTATTGGACGCGCTTATCAGCTGATTAGAATTTTCAATGCGTTGTTTCTTTTTTTTTTTATTATATTTTCTATCTATTATATTGGGATTTCCTGTTGGGGTTTCCGCTTTAAATTGCACACAGGAATTTCCGTTAGAGGGGGAAAATTTATATATATCAACTTTTGGCAACAAATTTCAGAGAAAGTTTGTTTTTATTTTTATTTATTTTTTTTATTTAGTTGTAAGCGAGTAACGTTAAGATTGGCTGTAAATTTTATATGGGTTGGGGATGGAGTAACTGCTGCTGCTGCTGCTGCTTCTGCTGCGGGTGCTGCTGCAACGAATACGCCAAGAAGCGTTCGCGGGCGTTTGACCGCGCATCTGCAGGCTGGCTGGCTGGCTGGCAGGCAGGCAGGCAGGCAGTGAAGCTTTAGGAAGAGACAGTGACAGCGACAGCGACAGCGACGACAAAAAACACACAGACGCGACGATGAACCTATTGGCTTTAACTCTACGAATCAACTGGAGCAGCAGGCAGCGGCCGCTACGCAACGAAGCCGACAGCAATAACAACAACAACAGAGCAGCGCGTGAACCGCCAAAAAAGAAAAGCTTTCAAAGAGAGCGCGTGAGCGAGCTAGAGCGAGAGACACTCAGTCAATTAGCGCGCTAGCTAGCTGCCATACGCTGCGTATACGTAATGTACGTGAAGCAAAAGCTTTACTCTCTCTCCCTCTTGCTCTCTCACACTATCATACACGGGTTTTATTGCTGTTATCTATGAACGACATAAAAGCTATACAAAAATCTCATCAAGCATTGCCAAAAATGTCGAAAACAGTTACAAGAGGATCTCAAGAGCAAAAGGGGCAAACATTTTACTAAATATTTTATATTTTTATATTATTTTTTCCAATTTAGCAATTTTGTTGTAGGTTTGGAGCCAAAAGTCTGAGAGGAAATTGCATTAACCATGAAAGAATGTCGCATAGAAGACTTTCATATATAATTCAAAGAGCATACATGCACACATACATGTACACACACATATGCACCCACGCACGAGCAAAAATCTCATTAAATCCTGCTATGAATTTTAAACATATTGCAGACAAACCCGAAAACTAGTTCAGCGGCAGCCAATGGAATGCCAGCAGGAGCTACCGCAGCAGCATCCTTAACAATAAAGCACAACGTTGAAGAGCGAGAAATTTGAAGAGAAAGCCAACTGCAGAGAGAGGGAGAGAGAGAGCGCGCGCTTTAGTGAATGGCATACACGCTTTTCATGTGAGGTAGGACCATGAAAAGCAAATGAGCTTTCCTTGCACAACAAACGAAAACTTTGAAAGCTGCTTAACAGTGTGCTGTTAAAGTTTTGTATAAGCAGAAAACTGTTAAGTTGCTAAAGTTACCCATATGAGCCACTGTTAAGAGTAGCAGAGAATGCAAAAAATAACAGAGCGAATACTGCTAACAGCGGTGATAACAACTGTTAGCTAGTTAGCTAACAGGAAATTGAGACTAACAGACAGACTCTTAAACTGCCAATTGGCGAATGTTAGGATAATAGGACTCAGCTATAACAGAACAGCTTGCTGCTAACATCTGTTAACAATCAACAAATTTACTTGATATAAATAACTTACCTTATTATCACTATCTGTAGTATTGCCCGATCCAAAGCTGGCCAAAGAGCAGCGATCGTGATCATTTTCAGTGAGTGGCTCATCCAGATCACGCGAAGATCGCTGCGAGGAACCCGAATGCTTGGCAGGCGACTTTGGCAATGTAAGCGAGGTGCCCGAGAAGCAAGTTTCCTGCATGACCTCACGCAGTTTCTTGACCCAGATCTGAAAGTTTAAGAAATACAATATTAGTAGGGCATTTACCCAAATTAGTCCAAATCTCATTACCTGTTTGGTCTCCAGGCCGTTTGCTTTGAGCACAATGCGACAATCGGATAGCATGGGCGAACGTCCTGTCCACACAGCAAACTTTGTCTCATCGCCTTCGATGTGCTCCGTTATGCCCATATCGGTGGTCATCAACTTGCTCTTGAATTGATATTTGACCACATTCGATTCTTTGACCTCCTTGGCAAACAGTAAATACAGCTCGAATAGGAATACACGACGCTCGCGTCCTTTGCGTATTATTTGCTTTGTGTCCCACGCCTGGAAGGCATCCTGCAGCACTACTTCGCCCAGCTTATCCACCGAGACATCACAGTTCTCGAGCAGAGACAGATGCATGGCATCATTCGCTTTTTTCGGCACATTCAGCATGACCTCGAGGCCTTCTTTGATCTCACCATGGCTGCCCTCGCAGCACGACAGCAGATCCTTGAGCAGCAATTGATATTTGGTAATACGTTGCACGGGCTTTATGAGATATGCGGGCAGCGGATGCTCCACTTCGAGACGTCGTTGCAGCTCCTCGAAATAATTGCCCGCATGCTGCACGAGCAGATTATTCGATGTCGGCTTATTCTTGCAATAATGCACATACATATCGAACTTAACAGCCCAGGTGACAAAGCAATGGCCCACATCCTCCGGCATGGTCTCATACTTCTCCAGCTCCTTCAAAAAGATCTTCTGATGGAAATGATGTATTTCCCGTATGTTACCGAAGATGATATCCTCCTGGCCAACCAGAGCAGCTGGCACGTTGCGTCCACTGCGAAACTCCTCGAGGAAACATTTAATGCAGGTGGCCAAGTCGTTGACATAGGCTCGCTCCGTCTGCATTAGCTCCGCCATGATGAACTCTTTTCGGCGCGCCGACTTGCGTTTCTCCTCGTTGATCTCTTTGCTGATGGCCGAGCTAGCTGAGGTGGTTAGCTTTGCCTCCAGCGTGGGGTCGGAGTGTCGATCGGTGCTGCCGGATGCGCTGCTAATCGAGCTATTCGCATCCGATTCGGGCTGGAGCAGCTGCTGCTGGGACATGCCCAGCGATTTCTCCAGCTGCTCGCAGTAGCTGTCCATGCGGTTGCTGAAGTCCTTATAGCGCTGATCCACTGAGGCAACCCACTGCTTAATCGAACTGGCATGCGCATGCCCCTTCTCCACCAGACTATCGGCCAGCTGGATGAGCAGCTTTACTCGCTCCCGTGTCTCCTTAGCTGTGCTCCGAAATTCGTTGTGCTCCTTGAGTAGTCCCTCCGTCTCCTCCCTGGTTATGCCCACCAGATTCGTGCGCGACGATAGATAACCCTCGCCCGTGTTGTGTATCCATTCGATGGCCTGTTTGGCACTCCTTTCGAAGAGCACAAATTGTTGGCATTGATCCAGCGACTTCTTGCGCATCGTCCAAAAGTCGAGTACCTGATTTTCCTGGGTGAGCAATTTGTCCAGCTTACTCTTCACGTGCGCCTCGCAATTGCCCTGGGTATATTGATAATATTGTTGCGAACGATTCGCATATTTGAGAAATGTTTCCGCCGTACGGCGTGCCAGGGTGCAAGCCTTTAGGAATGCCTCCTTCTGCTCTTGATGCTTCGATATTAGCTGCACAATTGTTTGGGCCTTATCACTGCTGCCGCCGCCTCCACACCAATCGTCCTCCCTGCGGTATTCACGCTCCAGGCTGTCCAGCACCGAGCACACCTGCTCGGCTGTTTTGTAGAAATTTATGGAGGCTGTCACCAGCTTGTGACGCTCCTCGGCATAGGTCACCAGCTGTTGCCACTTTTTGGTTACATCGTCGCTGATCTCACGTATCGATTTCGGATCGTAGTGATTCGCATTGATCAGCGCATCTGCGCGATATCTCACCTGCACGGCTGACGTGTGCGTCTTCTCAATGGCAATCTAGAGAAAGGATACATTGATCAATTACATAAAACAAATAACATTTAACTGTTAAGTTGATATTTGATGTGTCAAAAATATCTGCTTTTGTGTCTATTCATACTTTTATAAGCTGTTATGTTAAAGTTAAACATGTTAACAGCTTCTCTTCAATTTAACATTGCTTCTATTAACACAACATTGGCCAACGAGAAGCAAATGCATATTAAATTAACAGAGATCTGTAAAATTTTACTCAACAACATTAACATTAGCGGCCTCATGTTAAAATGATCATTAACAGCATTAACAGCTTTACTTTAAGATCGATTGTCTCTGTACCTGAAACTGTTCGTGTTCCTTGCGCAGCTGCTCGGCCTCCTGCAGACTGTTGGGCGTTAGAAAATTAGCCGTGAGCATTGCCTCGCCATTGCGTATCCAGGATATGACCTGATTGGCATCGTTCTGGAACTGACAAAGCTGCACAGCCTGTTCCAGCTTCGCACGCTTTGCCTCCGACAGCTCCTCCAAGTCGATTTCCCGCTCACGCAAGAAGTCCAACAGATATTCGATTCGTGCCTGCGCCGTGTGTGTGGCATCTGCCATGGATATGAAGCCAGCGTTCTCGAAGAGCTGCAGCAGATCTTGACCTTGTTGCAGTACCTCGTACGTCGTGTTCTGTATTTCGGTTACGGATTCGTTGTGCATGCGAATGAGCTGTTCGGCTTTCTGGTAGTCGCGCGAGAGATCTGCATGCTGCAGCTCCTCGGACCACATCTCCAGCTGCGAGGACAGTTCCATGGCATCGCGTTCAAAGTAACGCAAACGCAGAATGAGATCAGCACGAAATTTGCGCGCCGACCACAGCTCCTCGACCTCGATCTTCTGTTTGCTCAGCTTCTCGAGCGTCGCTTCGAGCGCGGCCAGCGAGCCCGTATTGTCCACATACTCGAGTGCGCGCATCTCCTGCAGCAAAGCCTCTCCCTGAGCGATCAGTGTCATGCAAGTGTTCACTGTGCTGTCCTGCTGATCTCTGTATTGTTGCAGCAAACGCTCGATGCCCTCGAGGTTCTCCTGCGAGAGGCGCGTCTCATCTGTGCTCACGTCCGTGCGCAACGACTCGATCCAGGCTGTCACCTCCTTCTCGTGCGTATAAAATATGACAGCCATTTCCAATCGTCGTCGTCGCTGCTCCACACGCTCGGCAAAGCTCGCCACCTGCAGCTCCAGCTCGTGGGCCACCGAGTAAATCTCATTTGGATCTGCTTCGCCACTGCGAGCGAGCTCTTCCGCAGCCGAGAGCAACTTCTCAGCATTGCTGTACGTGTTCTGTGCCACATTCTCGAAATGCTCGTGAGATTTTTGATAGACGCGCGCCTTTTGCAGATTGCGTCCAATACCCGTATTCTTGCGTAGAAAGACTTCGCCATGATTCTTCAGCCAGTCGAGCACCTGCTTAACATCCTCCTGGAAGAGACGTAGCGCCAGGGTTTGATGCAATCGAATCTTTTCCTGATGCCACTTGGCTTCCAGTGTCCGATGATGTCCTAATATTTGGTGTATAACAGCGAGCACATGGCTGGCGCCTTCGCTATAATCCGCCGCAGGATCTGGCCGTTCATATTTGTTGTAGCCACTGCCGCCGCTATTGCCGCTACTATTCTTGCGATGATCGGGCACACCCGGCGGCGGCGGTTGATTGCAAACGTGCACTAGATGATCCAGCTGATAGAGCAGCTTCTTGCTGGTGGAGTGCACCTCCGTATAGGCCTGGCACATGGCCTCGTATAAGGACTGATGTGTCCTTATGGCTGTTTCCAGACTCTGTATATCGGAGGGCAATGGCTGCGAGGCCTGACAAGCGGCTGCCCAACTGGCCACACTATTGCAGTACTGCTCGGCCTTGTGATGGAAGAGAACGCTCAGTTGCAGCACAGCTGTGCGCTCGTCCAGCCCGGCTCCGAAATCCTTCCAGGTGCGATCGAGCCGCTGGGCCAAAGTCTTTATATGCTGCGCTGCATAGTGTTGGCTCTCAATGAGCCGAGCTGCCACGGCCAGGATCCGATCGATATTCACATTGACATTCATCGAGGCAACGGCGAATTTCTGATGCTCATCCTGCAGCAGCTTGGCGCCCGAATAATTGTGCCCGATTTCCACATAGCTCATTTGGAATACATCCCGATTATGCAGTATCCAATCGAACATCTTCTCGCAATCCTGCTCGAAGAGGCGCCATTGAAAGCATTGATCGAGTTTGACTTTCTTGTGCTGCCAGAGCATGAGCAAGCGCTCCTGACCCGAGTGGATGAGCTCGATTTGTCGCAGCGCCTTATTAATAGCCGCCGACATGTCCGGATTATTGTGGCTAGCGACGCGTGCGCCCTGCTGTTGCTGCTGTTGTTGTTGCTGTTGTTGCTGCTGTTGTTGTTGCTGCTGCTGTTGGCCAGCGGAGGAGGTGCCCGAGTCGGAGCAGTCCGACGTGGAGGCACACTGCAAAAGATTAAATTCTCCATTAACATATATACACTATATTTATTTAGATGTCAACTAACCTGCCCTCCTGCTGTGCCGGCATTGGCAGCAGCTGCCATATTGATCTTTGTCAGCAGCTTCTTGCCCTGCATATCCAGATCCTCAATAGGCAGCTTGGTGATCTTCTTGCGCATCTCGTTGTGATGATCGATGGCCAAGCGGGCCAAACTCACATCTTCGGCAAAATCGTTGCGATGCAAATCCTCTTGCAGATCATCGATGCGATCAGCCATATCGCCCGCTTGCCAAAAGAAGTCCTCTATGGCCAAGCGTGCATCGGTCCACTGCTGATGATCGTACACCTGCTGTCCATCGAAATCGGATGTTAGCTGATGCGATTCGGCAATTTTGTTGAGTGCCTCGATCGATATCGTTTGCGTTTCGAATTTATATTTGTTGGAACTGATCGAGGCGCGTTGCTTCTGCCAGAAATTGTCCGGCTTGATGATCACCACGTTGTGAATGTTGGCGCTGAAATGCTCTTGGAGCACCTTCAATATTGTCTTCACATTCGTCGAACAGTTGCCATTGCCACGCATATCAATAATGACTGTGAAGCCGAGATTCTTGGCCGCATCGCTGCAAGTGAAAGGTGACCATTAACATAACGTTCAACGTGATAGTGAGCGAGCGAAAGAGAGAGATGGAGGAACGCAGAGAAAGAGAGACAGAGACGGGCAAAGCGAGTCAGCAAAGTGTATGTGAGTGAGAGTGTTGTTGTTATTATGCTCTTGGCGAGTGTATACTCAATATGTTATGAAGTATGTAACATATCGAGAATTTAAGATCAGTAATGATCTTTAGATAAAATACAGGAAATTATTAAGAATACTCTTTGTATAACAATTTAAGCACTAAATGGAGTATTTTCGAAATAGAGAAAGCATTGATCATTAAATGATCATATATATATTATATTGATAACTGTTGACCGACGATCCTCACTACAATCATATACAGTCAAAATGCATATTGTTTATTGAACGATCTATTCTCTTCATATATACTTGATATACATATCTATATAGATCACCTATCCGTCTACATATCAAACTATCTACCTATCGGTCTATATATAAATCTTAAATATTAATTAACATTGTATTCGCTGAAAAGTTCATCGATCAGAGAGTTCAGAGCTAGAGTTCAATATCCTTTAAAATGTCGATAATCCTATTAATCAATTCACACGATCTGCCCATAAAGGTACAATTTATACGAAGTATTATTCCCTCACATATTTTACGCTTTTCCTTACATGGATCTCTCGATAGATCACTATGGCGCCCACTCTCCACATAGTGTATACAAACTTCTGCTATTTATATCACGAACATGAAATAAAACCTAACTGTTCTTTCTTATTTTCGTAGTTCGATTTGGTTAGATTCTTCGTTTGGTTCGTTGCTCTGTTTACGTCTTTTGCATAAATTACGACTTTTTCACTGGAAGAGCGCCGAGCACAATTTCTATATAACTTTGACACCAATTTCAGTTAATAATTTCCTAAAGACCCTACACACCCGTTCAAGAGTTTTGCATTGTGTCGTGCTTTGATTTGCATTCTATTTGAATTTTAATCACATCATTAACCATAAATATTTATATTTTATTTTTATATCTCACTCTCGCTGTCTCTCTCTCTCACTTTTCTTCGTATGCCTTGTTCACACTTTTTAAGAATGCCATTTTAGTCGCTAAGTCTTGACTTGCTGTTGTTTTTCTTTTTTTTTTTTATCTTGAGATTCTCGTGTGGTTTCTGCGAACGCATTTCTAGGGGTTTACCCTTTAGAATCGACCAAAATGAAGAGGAACCAAAGCAAAAGACGCTTCGAGCTCTACACTGCTCAAGAGAAAGGCATAATTGTTGAAATATTAATTGAAAAATTGCTCAAATTGATTGATTGACTGAATAAAGGGAAATGGGCAAACTATAAAAACTTGCTTGAGGGCCGGAATATATTTTCAATAGCAATTTGTTTATATAAGTTTATTGATTGATTGATTGACGATAAACCTAAGCTATAAATGCCAGCCAGAGTAACGTTTTCAATTAGAAGTGCTTTTAAAGCTAATTTCTTTATATAATGTAAATTTGGAATCAAACCTAGACTTGAAAGCAAAGCCCTTACCTTGGGCATGATTATATCATTTTTCTTTCTCTGTATTCTAAAGATTTCTGTATTGACATTGCAGTCACCAACCCGACTTTGTGTGTGTTCTTGAATGACTAATAACAAAAAAGAATAAAAAAAAAACCAAACTGGGTGCACGACATATTTATGGGCGGAGAGGCAAACGTTTAAATAATTCTTTCTTTCATTTGTTTATCAACAGCTGAAATCGGGGAAACAAGCTGCCTCGAATCAAATCGAAATGCCATAAAAAAAAAATCGTGTTTCTTCTCGAATGTCGCCCGTAGGAAAACTTCGAAGACAAGAAAAAGCGAAATGCGAACTAATCAAAAATCGTTTATTTAACCCATAAATCGTTTGGAAATTAAACAAGGGATTCACAAATGGCATCACAACGAAAAGAAACGAAACAAAATGAAATGAAGCGCCAAAGGAAGTTGGCCTCGAACGTGTCTAAAATTTTGAGCGCCCATTGTTGTTGTTGCATATATTAGTATTGCTATTGTTGTTGTTGTTGTTCTTGTGGGAGTGAGTTAAACAAGAAATTTGCATTGACGCGCGACTCAGCTGCCCAAATGAGCGCTAAAGACAAAGCGAACCCCAGCGAAGGAGAAGAAATAAACAAAAATGTTTCGCATGAAAACAAAATAAAAATAATAAAAAGGAACGACACAACAACAAAAGAAAGCAGAAACAAAACAAAATAAAACAAAGTTATAAACCAAACCAAATAACACGAGAGATTTCAATAACGGTTGACCAACTAACTGATACCCTGTTATTAAGTTGATAGCCCTAATATATAGGGAATGTTTCAGATATAAGTGAAAGCATTTAAAAAGGAATAATTAATATTTTATATCGATAATTAACGATATCAACAACTAAATATATATCGATAATTAAAGCTATCAACGACTAAATTGTTGATATCGTTAATTATCGATATACAATATTAATTATTATTGTTATTATTATATTATTAGAAAACAAACTGATAGATCAGAAACGTCGTAAACAATATACCCTATTTTAAGCACTTCGTATAAGTACGGAGCATACAAAACAGAAGAAGCGATAAAGCGCACATTTGGGCAAGCAGCCAAGAAGGCAAGACGCAGAAGAGAAAGAAAGAGAGAGCACGAGAGAAAGAGGCAGCTGGGGGAAGAGAGAGAACAACGCAATTCTGAATGACAGCGCGGCGATAAGACAAACACGCCGTGCCGTCACTACACTTCGTATATATACTAACGTATACATACATGTGTGTATATATGTCCCCATTGTATGTATGTATGTATGACCCCACCAAAACAAATGATTGCGCGCGCTTATCAGTCAAAGTTGAGGCGTCAGCATTTGAGATTTCTAGCTTGAATGCTCGTTTATATGTGGGCCAAAGAGATAGCGCTTACTAATTGGGGGCGGGGGCCACAGCCATCAACAGTCACCAATAGGTGGCGCTGATAAGAAAGTGCAGAGCATGGGAAAATGGGGAACAACAACAACAACAACCACACGCTGTTGACTGTGATTCATTAACGTCATTTTCTTTCTTTTTGGGTCTTCGCTGCTTTTCACTACTCAACGAAAAATCTTGTGAAAATGGCTCACGAATTTTCCAATGAAAAAGCCAAAGGAAATATATACATATATACTGTATGTCGCAATTTTCATTGAGAGGTGCCCATCAAAAATTTTATGACTTGTTTTTCGGGTTTTTAAGATCAATCAAGAAGATCATTCATGAGAAGCATTTCTGCCTAGCAGTTGTTGAGTGCTTTATGGCAAATTATATTCGACTTAAAACAAATGGTATTGCAATAAGCATACCCTGTAATTTAGGCATTTATGTAATAAGCTTATATTGTATATATCTTATGAATCAATACAAATCGATTTGCATGTCCTCCCCTGAGTCCATGCCAGGTATAGGGTGTGTCTAAGTTGCCTCATATCAAGTAAATGTAGTATTGTAATTTATTGTATTAGGTTCGTGCTCTCAATAATACGCTTTGCTCATGTACAGTGAACACTCATTAGCGAAAACAAATGACATACGTAGGCCAAATTTAGAATTATTGATTTATTGCTCCCCTTTGATATTTACTTTAAGCTCTGTTTATAATCAAATCGTATTGGAAGACCATAAAGTTCTTTATAATTCTACGGTCCGTATTTCGATCGATTCCAGGTATAAATTTTATTCAAATGCAAACATAAATCCAAAAAAAAAAAAATTAAGAAGAAATATTCGCATTCCACCTTTCATTTCGTTTGCTTTGCTCTGTTTCGCTTTTTCTTAACTGCTCAAAGCACTTTGACTCTTGGCCGCTTTAATTCGCCAGAAACGAAAACAAAAACAACAACATTAACAGCAAGAGCAACAACATTAACAGCCATTTAACAGAGCTTTCGACTCACGCCGCATTCTTTTGGCAAACGAGCATCGCGAAAATGCCGGTTTACGCGTTTTGCTTTTTGTTATGTATTTTCTCTATTGCTTTCTTTGTCGCACAGATTTATGCAATTTGCTGTTGGTGTTGTATTTTTGCCAACTACCGAGCGAAAACAGCACAAAATGACGATGAAGAAGCGTAACATGTCTGCCTCTCCCTCTCCCCCTCTCTCTCACACACTCACAGAGAGCTGCATTCAATGTCAGCCTAGGCTGCAAGAACAACACCAACAACAATGTGCGTGCTGTTTGCCATTGTCGACGACGACGACTGCGACGCGACTGCGACAGCGGCTGCTTGATGATTCATAAAACATGCAAGAACTGGAAAATCAAGTGGAATGCATGCAGCTGCAGCTGCGCGGGTGAGGCGACAGCCAAAAACCGCAAACGAAGCGCAGCGCAGCGTCAGCTGACACAATGGCCTCTCATTGTGAATGCTGCCTGCGATTGTGAGTGCGAGTGCGAAAGAACCAATAAACATTTTGCAACAATAAGTAAATAGAAGTAAAGTATCGATGGCGGTTATGCAGTATCGATTGTTTACATTACTCACCTGGGTATGCTAATCAAGTAGATAAGCAGGCGACGCAAATCCTCCGGTTTGAGGCGATCCCGGCGCGGCGTTGCCGGAAAACATAGTAATGGTCCACCACGCCTATCACGCCCACCAGTGAGAAATACAACGCGCTCCTGCAGCAGCGTTAACAGATCGCGGGCTCGTTGACCATCCATGTTGTTGTTTGTATGTGTGTGTCTGTGTGTGTGCAGCTGTTTTATAGTCTTTAACTATTGTGAGGGCAGCGCAGCATAACGGACTCGCCTTCAATTTCACTTAATTTGAAATATTTATTATTAATTTAGTTGTTGTTGTTACACTTTTGCTTGCTTTGACGGCTTTCATTGATTTTTGCAAATTTCTCGCTGCCATTTTTTTCATGGTCAACGCAGCAGCAGCGGCACTATATGTATATGTATGTATATATACACATGCATGTGTTAGTTGGGTGTGTATGTGTGTGGGGGTAGGCGGTTTGTTTAGAAAAAAGAACGGACAAATAAGAAAAATATATACAAATGGTCACACTCAACACAAAGCATATTAATTACATTTTAGGCAAATTTTGTATCATATGGGCAGCCCCACGCAGACAGATAGGGAGACACAAGCACGAGTACACAGACAGATAGGGACGCAAACACACACACATGACACGAAACACCCCCACCGAATAGCGGTTAAATGTTAAATGTCATAAATCAACTCTATGCCGTGTCACGCAATGGCCGCATAAAACATAAACGCGGAAATACATGCATACATACATAAACACATGCACATGTATATGTTCTTATTTTTAAAACACACGCGTGGGCGAGGGGCACAAGGGAGATATGTTGTTATTTTTTTGCAGCTGCACAACGCGCGCGTTTAATAATTTTTAATTGCCATTTTTACAATATGGGGCTTTAGTTTTACGAACTCCATCAACAATCACATCATCCGCCTTCGACGCACATCTTTTCACAGTTGCGTTTCGTTTCGTTTGAGATGTTGTCTGCGTCTTGTATCGCCTCCTCTCGCTCACTATATACGTCTCTATCTCTCGCTCTCCCTCTTTCCACCTTCTGCTACTGTTACTTCTTCTTCATCTTCCTCTTCTTCAAACCAACACTAAAAACGCTTCTGGGATACAAATTGATTTTTTTCACTCGTTTGCGTTTGTTCTGACTGCATAAATGCACATTACCATAACACGCGCGTTTGCATTGTTTCATTTTCGGCAACGCTCTGATCATTCACATCATTTTTATTTACACTTGGTTCGTTTTTATTTAAACAAATTTGCGGAGCAACAAAAATTTTTGCGAAATTTATGCGCTTTGCTCACTTTGTTGTTGCACTGTTAATGGTTCTCGCTTGCTATGTTAACTCAAAATGGAAATGTTAGAGTTAAGAAGAGTGACCAGTTGCGTGAAGACCGAAAAATCCCAAGAGTATACATAAAATATACTGATAGTATTTTTGTATGCTGGAAATGCCAATTAGACTGTTGTTGCTCACCAGTTGTTATTTAAGCTATTAATAATAATTATGTTTATATTATATCCAAAAAGATTTTTTATTTTATAGCCCGATTCGAAATAAAAATTCTAGCATGTGAAATCATAGCGATGTGATTATTCAAATTATACGGCCATTTTGGGAATACCAGCTGGTTCGATCAATTTACGACGATCTGGCAACTCTCAGTCATAACAAGGCTGCCACCACTCACCACCAAATCAGCTGCTATTTTCGACAAGCTGGCAACACTACAAACATAATTGCAATAAGAATTTTATATTCCTTCTAGAAAATAAACAAATTGTAAAAATTCTGCGTAAAATCAAAGTTGCATTGCATCTGAAGAAGCGCCGATCGAAGCACAAGCCAGTAGAGCAACAGGCACAGTCACAGTCACATCCACAGCAACAACTACAACGCCACCATCGCTGTAACCAAGACGACGACGGCGACGCCAGCTGCAGCCAGATGGAAAGCAATTTGAACAGAATGATAAACCAAACGCTGCGTCATCCGCTCAGCGGGCAGCTAAGCAAATATACAAATGTAATGAAGGGTAAGGCAAATGAAATATCACCATATACTACAATTTACACAGTCGATCTCTCATAGGCTGGCAATACCGTTGGTTCACTGTGGACGCCAAGACGGGATATTTGAGTTACTATTTGTGCGACTCTTCGGCAGTGGGCGACGACATTGCGCCCTCGCCTCATGTGCTGGCCAACACTCCGCGGGGTCAGGTGCAGCTGGCCGGCGCCGTCGTCTATCCCAGCGACGAGGATTCACGCACCTTTTCCATTGCCTGTGCTTCGGGAGACACGCTGAAGCTGCGCGCCAGTGATGCACGAGCTCGCCAGGAATGGGTCGATGGACTGCGCGCCGTCGTCGAGAGCCACACACAGGCCATGGACATAAGCAACTCATCGCCATTGCCGGCACGCGAACTGCTGGCCGCTTCGGATGCAATGGTTGCCGCTCGACAGGCTCTATTCCTCACCGAACAGTGGTAAATCCAATCACGCCATGCCATCCTATAGCATCTGCCTTACACTGATCTCTAAACTGTTCTTTCTAGCAACGCTTCTTTGGCACGCGCCATTGAAAACATTGACTGTGCTTCCTTTTCGCCCACGGATCCGGACCTATTGCTGCTGAAGGCCATCTCCACGGCCAGCACACAGTGTCTGCATCAATGCCTTGGCCTGTTGCAGCGTCACCAGGAGATCAATCAGCCCCAACTGGAGGAGGTGACGCCGCCAAGTATTAGTTTGGCTCTGCAGTAGCATCCCTAAGTTAATTTCTCTTCTGTTGTTATCAAAAAGCAATAAAAAATAAAATACTGTAAATACTAAACAAATACCAAATAATTATATGAACCTAACATTTATTTAGATAGATAATATAATATGTAGTAGATATTCCTGATCAACAAATCTTGCTGGGCGTAAAAAAAAAACTCGTATTCTTCCATTTTTTTTTTGTTTTTATAAAATATTTTTTATTTCATTTTTTTGTTGATATTTTCCTTCTGTTTTTTTTTTTTTTTTTTTTTTTTTTTTTGTTATTTGATTAATAAGAAACATTCATTTCGACATTTAAAAGTTAATTTTAACATAAAGTTTTGCACTAAAGTTGTTTTGATAAAAAACGTATAATAATTATATATATATATGTTTATATATATATACTTTCTGGAAATTTTCGGTTAGCTTCATAAACATATTTTCCTTTTTTTTTTTTTTTTTAATTATTTTTTTGTTGAAATACTCGTAATATACCAAATAGGTAGGGAACATTAGAGTCTATTTCTTAGGGTGGTTGGGGGGATTAGTTATGAGAGTTACATACATAGATATACATATAAATATATATATATATCTACATATCCGTCTATATGGCTATGGCTATTGTATAAACTGTAAATACTTTTTTTTAAATATTTTTTATTTGATTTTTAATTGCCGCTTGTTTATTTATTTTCTATTTGTATTATTATTTTTATTTTAATATTATTTTTTGTGTGCTTGCAAATGAGACTTTTTTTTTATTAAAAAAAAAAACATATAAAATGCATTGCCGAAAGATTTGCCTAAATGTTTTTTTTTTTTTTTTTTTAACTTAATACAATACTTATATATTTATTTAAAAATATATATAGTATGTATGTCAGACTTTTTCTAAATTAATTAACGAAAGTTGTTGATTTCATTTTTCCTTTTTTCAGTTAAAAAATGTAAAAAAAAGCTTAAGTTAAAATTAATGCTAGAAAAGGCACTTTAGAAGAGTAGAAGAAAAATTTTTCAATTTTGTAAGTTAAAGAATAAATTAACAGATAACTATTCAGTATTAAAAATTTGGCAATAATTAAAAAGTTTTCGAAGCCTTCAATTTATTTTTTTATTTTCAACAACTTTCGTTTACAATTTTCATTTTCATAATTTTCTATAAATTTTGTTTTGTATAAAGTTTTTTTTTTTTAGTTAAAAAATTTATTTTAAATTTACAAATTTGGGGTTTTTCTTTTTTTTTTTACTTTTTAACAATTTCTCTGAATTTAATTCCGAAAGGCATTTTTTGTGAATTTTTTGTTGTTTGTTTTTAAGACCTAAACATTAAATTTAGTTGTTTCCATATTTTTAGTTTCCATTTTTTAATGCACATCCAAAAATTTTTAGTTTTAATTTTTTTTTTTTATAATTTTTGTACACATATATTTTTATAAACTAAATAAAACTGGGCACACAATTGCTATGATTTAAATAATTGTATTTTTCTTTTTAATGTTTATTTTATTTATTTTTAGTTGTAATTTCTTTTGTTGAAAAACTGTTTTGTGGGATTTGCTGTGGAATGTTCCAGGGTATTTCTTAGAGTTTTCCATTTTATTTATATATTTATATAGTAAAAATTAAAGAGATCGCTATTTAATTAATTATTTAACATAATAATACTCTTTTGATTTTTTTTTTTTTCAATTTAAATTCAAATTAAATTGAAGTGGACCGACAGAAACAAAGGAACGAGCGTTCGAAATACTAATATGCATGATATATACATATATATGTATGTATCTATGGAGATGTACATGGATGGTCTCAAAAATTAACAAATTTAAATTAAATAAATAATTAGTTAAAATATATTTTATGATTAAATAATCTAAATGAGAATATGTATTTTGCGGAAATTAAAAAATAAAATTTTTTGTATGTAAACTAATTTCAGCATTAAATTTAATAAATTACTTAATTCAAAATTAAATTAAATTATAATTTAAATTTTCTTAAAATATTTTATATTATTTTAGATACTTTAAGAACAATATGCATTTAAAATAAAAATTATATAAATTGAAAATTAACATTTTTTAAATAATAAATATGTAAAATTTAAAATTTCTAAGAAAGACATTAATTTTAATCAAAAATACAAAAAAGTTTAAATAAATTAATTTATAAAGAAAATTAAAATTGTTTTTACTAACAAATTTTTTAGTAATAATTTAAAAAATCTTTTTTAGGCTTTGTCAATTTTTCAGACCACCTTTGTATACATTACACACACATAAATGTATATATGTATATATATAATTATAATGTATAACTCAATTTATATACACATATGTATTTCATATTAAATACTATATAGTTTAAATCAGATTTGTTAAACCTTTAAAATTTCCATTTTACTCAAATCTCAATTGCTTAATTAAAAGGAAAATTTGTTGCTCTTTTGATTGATTGATTGATTTAGTTGAGTTTGGAGTTGGAGCTGGAGCTTCGACTCTATTCGCCGCTGGTCGTAATGGGCTCCACCTTGATGGAGCTGCCGCTCCCGCTGCCAGTACTACTGGCGCACATCTCTCCACCGGCTGTGCCGCTTGCTGCTCCAACGGGCGTTCCGCTCGCTGCAGGCGTCGCTGCTGCTGTAGTTGATGCAGACGTGGAGGTGGAGGAGGCGCCCACTAGCTCTGCCAGATCTTCGGCAAAGAGTCGCGTAGGCGAAAAGTCACGCTTGTAGCCCAGCTCCAAGCCCAACTCCGCCAGCGGCGAATGCAAGCGCGGCGGACTGCTCTTCGCCTTGGACTTGTCCTGCTGCTGCTGCTGCTGTTGTTGTTGTTGTTGCTGGTGTTGTTGGTGCTGCTGTTGCTGGTGCTGCTGTTGCTGTTGCTGCTGATGCTGCATGGAACTGGCACCGAAACCGGATTTGTGTGTCTGCATGTGATGCGAATGCGGATGTGTGTGCGGATGCTGCACTGCAGCAGCAGCGACCGCCGCTGCAGCAGCTGCTGCTGCCTGTTGATGCAAAGCATGCTGCTGTTGTTGTTGTTGTTGCTGCTGTTGTTGTTGCTGTTGGTGCTGCTGATGGAGCTGCAGCTGCTGCAGATGATGCTGCTGCTGCTGACTGAGTAGTGCAGCCGCTGCCGGATCTCGATGCAGTGCAACGGCCATGCTGGGCGGCAGATTCGGCAAGAGGCCGGCGGGACCGCAGGGCGAGGGCGCATGCCGTGCTCCCAGCGATGGATTTGAGCCACTGCTCAATGCTGGCGATATGCTAGCCCGTCCCGCTCCGCCCGTCAAATGGGGCGGCAAATTGAACAGGCCCGGCGGACCCGGTGGGGGTGGTTGCGGCCCCGCCTCCCCGTGCTGATGCTGCGCTGCGGCGGCCATTTGCATCTGCTGGCGTATATTGTGTGCAACGGCAGCCACCGCGGACATCTGCTCCTGCGACATTTGTTGCTCCGCACCACTGGCAGCGCCTCCCACGCCGCCGCCACTGCCCATACCATTGGGACAGGCCAGGCCGCTGAGGCTGGCGGCTCCTCCGCCCACCGGCTGACCTGGATAGCTTAGCGTCATGTCCTGCAAGGGAAAAACGGGCTAACCCGATCGGGAGTTTAGTGTGTGGATGACATGAAATGAAAAATTATTCAAACAGCTTGCGAAATTCGAATTGCAAATTTAGTTGGTTGCGGCTGATCGTTGACATATAGATCACTGCTATAAAACAGCATAGAAGCATCGATAGGTGCTTGACATTCTACTCAAAAGGCAGCTTTCTTGATTGGACAATGTATGCCATCGATATTTGCTAAAGCAATTGTAATACAATCAGATCACCGTTTTACAATAAGAAGCATCGATACTTGCATCAGTGCTCAATTAGTACTTATTGTCTTTATGTTAATCAAGCATTTAATGCTAAATTAATCTATTAGCTCTGCAGTCCAACAAAACCAAATCTCTGTTGATAAAATGTTAAGCTTAACAGTCGGCTTAAGGACCGTTTAACAGGCATCGAAATCACATGCTAATCGATATCAAGTTAATCGTGAATAAAGATGGCTGCATCAATTACTGCGTCGTAATTTTCATTTAATTTATTTTTCTTTTTTTTTTTTGAAGTGCAAGTGCTGTGAAGTTTGTATAGTGGTGAATTGTGGCTTGTTTTAACCTACCGAATGCCGACCGTACGGTGGCATATGTGCGCCTAGGCTATCTTCCTTTATGTCCTTAGTGTCGCGAAACACGACCGTCTTGATGACGCCCTTGATATGCTCATCCGGCCAGATACCCAGGAGAATGCGTTGCGGTCTACCTCGTCCCTTGGGTCGTAGATCGGGTCCGCCATCGATCGAGGGGCCGAGCATATTGTGCACCCGATTCGCGTAGAGCACAAATGTCGGATAGGGTATATCGTATTTTCGCGCCGCTTGTGATAGTGAAAGTCCTTCCTTTAGTACGCTGAAAATGGCTTCGGCCATCGTTTCGGGTCGCCATGATTTTAGTGGTCCGCGTTCGCGAAACCGCATGTGATGCATTAAATTTTGATTAGTGTTCCAGCATTTTTGCCACATCGACTGCAGCTGATATTGATAGCTGTCTGCTGGAATGTTCGAGAAGGATACATACAATATGACGGAATGCAATGCATTAGGTGAGTGCCAAAACTGCCAGCTTTTGATTGTCTATACAAACCTGCTAAAGTTGAGCCACTTGCGCCCATCCAAGCGTGTGAATTTTCCATCATTTTTGCCTGTTGAAAATGAAGAAGAAGAGAAGCATGAAAAATAACGGAAGTCAGTTAAATTTATATAGAGAGTGAGCGAGAGGGAGAGAATTAATTGCATATCTATATTTGCTGCACAATGCACTGTCGCCATTGATGTAGAAGAAGATCGACCTATTTTTTTTTTTTTTTTTTTGAAATAGCTGTTAAAGAGTAGGTCGGGTATATGGGTTGGCAGACGACGGTAAAAAAACAGTAAGAAAATATTTAAAATATTTATTTAAAAACAAAAAATAATACTAAGAATAATTATATAAAACAAATGATAAAAAATACAAATAAAAAATATAAAATACAAAAAAATAACTGAAATTTGATTTATATAGATCCAATTGTAAAACGCTTTGCTCCAGTTTTATTAATAACTGTACTTTATTCAGAAAATTGTTGTGTGGTTATTCTATAGCCAATTATTAGGCTCAATAAATAAAACAGCTATAGAAAGTAATTATAATATCTGGGCTAAGACTTAAATTGTTTTACAATTAAGTTCAACATCAATTGCAGGGCATTATTAAGTCGTATAATTGTCATTGATTTATCATAGTAAATATTCATATAGACATATATACATTGCAGAGCATCATTAAGTCGTCTAATTGTAGCTCTGAGTGGTTCTCAACCAGTTTGGAATCTAATGCTAACGATACATTTAACTGCAGTGCTTGGCCTGCAGTTGTGAGTTGTTCGAGTGGCTTTTCCTCCTCGTTGACGTTGACGTTACCGTTATCGTTGCCGTTACAGTTACCGTTACCTGTCTGTTTGCCGAAGTACCGTTTGCCGAGTGCTTCGTATTGAATTCACTAATTGCATAACAAAGTAACATTTGCATATTGTGCCACATATCCTTAAACGTGTCTATGTATGCCCACTAGAAGGTGAGCCACGCCCCGCTGTTGCCACCCAACCATCCACACTATCTATCATTCTCTATTTCTCTCTCTCTCTCTCTTTGGCTCTCTTAGGGGCTTGTCAATAACTTCATTACAAACTAAGTAAGAGTACTTCAGTTGAAAGTGCACGATTAGGAGATACCCTGTTTTATGAGAGATGCTGTTGTAGATTTTTGATACTTATGTACATTTTCATATTTAGATTTTGGAAAAGCTGTCTACAATAAAACTAAATGAAAAAGTCCATATGAACTTAAGCAGGATATTTGTAGCAAATTTTGCATTTGTTTGCCTTAAAATCCGGGAACTTGGATTATAATTAAATGAATTAAAATTATGCAAATATGACGTCTGTGGGCTTCAAATCTTAATCCTAAACCAATATATATATATATATACATACATATATATATATATATATCTCAACATATCGCCTGTTACATACCCCTTCACAACAAACAATATACCCTGCTTCATCATTTTTACTTTAATAATGAGTTTAAGGGTATACAAATTTCGCATCATCTAGCATATCAAGTGGCTATTCCCCGACCCCGACTCAGGGGCCACTCTATGGGGCCCACTTGTGCCCATTTAGGCTAAGTATTACTTGTAAGTTTGCCATGTGACTGCGTGGCTGAGTAGCAGTTAAGTTGTTGCCTGTTTCTCATTTTTAGTCGCTTCCTAGTCTAAATGCATTCATATATATGTCCGTAAGTGTGTGTGTGTGTGTAATGGCAGCTGCCAAGACAATGAGCTTGCCTTTGCTCTGTTGTTGTCCGAAAATTTGTGTTGCATACTTTTATGGGCGCCAGACATGCAAATTGCAAGTCTCCAAACTAGCCATTTCATTTTCGCTCTCATTATGGGGTAAATTATATATAATATTTTTGTAGTTACTTTTTTTTATTTTTTTTTATTATTATTTTGATTTTTTTAAGACAAAGTAAAATTACTTTATTTGTAAATGCAAGCAAATTAAGTTGGCAATTTCTGCGAATTCTGAGCAGAAGTCATACAAGTTGTTTGCATATTTTTCGAAAGAGCTGTAATATTGGGGCTAACTTAAATTTTGTACTTTATTTCTTTCATATTTCAGATGGCAAATAACTTAATAAATGCATTTAAATGGTTGTGTTTGAACAGAGAAGAAGGGTACATTGAATATACAATTTATTGTTTTAAAATTTATTTCGTAATCGTTCTTAAAGAGTTGAGCTATTTTCTAAATTAAAAATACTAATCGATAAATTATCGATATTTTGTGAAATTGCTAGATTTGACATCTAATTGAATCGCGGCAAGCGCAGTTGAAATAGCGAGAATTCAAATAGGATATAGCTAATCCACATAATTATATATAGGAATACAAGCACACACACGCACACACATAAGTATACTCAAGCTGAGCTGTGTATGTGGGCAGCTAAGCGAAGAAACGTTGCAGCCATCAAAGCAACTGCAACGACAACAACAGCAATAGCAACAACAACAACAACAACAACAAAATGTTGCACATCCAACTAGGCAGGCCAACTAATGGTCCATTCGTGGCACTTGGTTATTGACGTTGGACTCGAATTGTATTAACAATGCATGGGGCACAGACCAGGCTCACTGAACTGCTGCTCACTGGGCGAATACACGGGCGTGCTGGCGTGGGCGTGGCAGGCGTTGCCAAGCGAATGGATGTGAGGTAGAGGCGCCGCTTTGAGGTAAGCAGCGGCTGCGACTGCGTTTGGCTTTGATGCAAAATCGAAACGTGGTCAACTTCATTTCGCTTAATTTCGCGTTGACTCTACACACACACACACACACACACACACACACGCACAGGAGTTGCATTTGCAGCTATATGTCGCGCGCTAATCTGCAGCGCAGGTAAACAGAAAGGGCGGCGAGTGTGTGTGTGTGTGAGGGGGGAGTGGCCTGCCACTCAGGTATGACATTTTGGCAGCGTCGAAGTGCACCAAGACTGTCAAATGAGTTGTAATGAAATCTCGTTCAGTAAATGTGCATATGTGTGTATGTGTATGTGTATGTATGATACACATATGTGTTAGTGTATTAAGTGCGTGTGTATGTGTTGTGTTGCTTTGGTCAGTTGCACATATAATAAATAAATTATTTGGCATTTGGCGTACGTATTATTGAAGGCAGCTGGCTAACAGGCACACACACAGACACACACACGTGCATGCAGCTGCGGCGCCATCTGTCGTTCGTCTTGCGCATTAGCGTGATTAGTCTCCATAGTCTCGCTCGCTGGCATTTAGACTTGTAACAGCAACAACAACAACAACAACATCCGTAGACCGCCTCCTGCCTTGGCCTGGCTTTAAAATTAAATTATCGAAAAATTTGTGGCGTTTCCGCCATTTTCTAGCTGCAGACAGACATCTACGCAGCCTCCCAAAACAAACTTGGAGGAAAAAAAAAAAACTTAGCAGAACGCCCCCAGTGTGAAGAAGCCAGGAAAAAGGCGTTGCAGTCAACGCAATTGAAACCTTTGAGATACCTTTCGCACACCCACAACCCAACTCACTACAGTCTCTCTTTCTCTCTCTCTCACTCTCTCTGTTGCTACTCTGTGTAAGCATTGAGGCGTTAAGCTCACATCAATTGGGCGTAAAAAGCGCTAAACAGCCTAACCGCCAGCCAGTTTTTCGACTACCTTAAACCTCTTCCACAATTTGTGCACCCACTTGGCTTCCACTTTTGTGGCACTTGTGTGGCATGCGGCATGTGGCATGGCTCTAGTTTAGCCCGCGGGGCGTCGCACAACTTGAGCTGCTCTGGTGGTTGTTGCCACAATTTCTGATTTTCAGATTTTCTGATTCGCTCCGACCATAAAGCATCCGCAATGCAATTTAAACAAATTCACAGCAGGAAATAGCGACATGTGGCTAAAAACATGTTTATAGATCTCATATGGGGCAAACAATTAAATAAAAAGTATAAATAGAAAATATGAAAAAAAATAATATGACAAAATAAATAGAGTTAAAAAAGGTCTAGACGGGATTTTGATGGGTATTGAAAATGAATACAAAATATTTTGTGAAAAATTAATGATGATATTGACAGGAATGTTATCAAGTAAACGAAATACTTTTATCTTTTACATTAATTAGTTAATATTTTTAAACTATTCCACTTAAATATATATATTACATCCATACCTCAATCTCTTTTCTATTTATGAAATTCAATAGCTGCTTGCATGCTCAATTGACTAAGTCAAAATTCCTAATTCGAGGATGTTGTTCAGGAAATTATCAAAGTGTGCTGTGTGTATGTTAGTGTGTCTGTGTGCTTTCTGGATTTTGTGTGTAACCAAAAATTAATTAGCGTGAAAAGCATTTTGAAATGTTTAAGCCAAGCAGTTGACAAACCAAATTTCGAAGACGGATGCATGGCTAAAAACTTGCATTAGTTTTGTCGAGCTCATTTCCTCAGTCACTTACACACACATACACACACACACACACACACACGCACACTCACATATTCATTTTTAATTTGATTTAGTCGCAAAACTTGCTGCTTCATTAAAATTCGTGCAACAACAAATGAAAAGTTTTTGGGCTCGCGTTTTGCTACTTGAAACGGGAATTACTAAATGCAGCAGCAGTGGCAGTGGCAGTGGCAGTGGCAGTGGCAGCAACATCAGCAGGCTGTGGCAGCAACAAGCGGCATATTTCCGACTTTTCCCCGCATTTAACCCTTAGACCCTACACCAAGCAGAGTCCTCTTAGCCGCCTTAACCCTTAGGCGGGCCAACAAGCGCTCTGAAGTGTGCTACGATTTCACTTGAAAACTGCAATCAAGTGAATTTCAATATGCATATGTACATGTGTGTATGTGTGTGTGTGTAGATATGTGGATTTGTGTGTGTATAAAAACTTCATGGATTTAATAATCAAACCATCGATGGTTAAAATCGAGCAACGAGAGTGAGAGAGAGAGGGAGGGAGGGAGGTAGGTCGACAGAGGGAGAGAAGGGGAGAGAGAGCGCGCGCACAGTTCCCTACATCGAGCACTTCTCTACACTTGTTCCTCATTTCCTGTACA